TGTGTGTAAATTTGTTGTTGGGTATATGCGTGTGTGTGTGTGTGTGTGTGTGTATGGTGTGTGTGTGTGTGTGTGTGTATGTGTGTGTGTCTGACCGTATCATCTCCGTCCACCTGACGGCCTCCTGCAGCTCCATCAGTCTCTCTTTATACTGGTTTCTCTCCATCAGGACTCTGGCCATCTCCACACGAGTGAAGCGTTTGCGCTGGGCCGTCGGCACGTCGCTCTGAAGGGCGAAAGACCAAGAACTGTCAATAATAATACATCATCCTGTCTGTGTGCTCTGAGCAAAAGCTGATATTATCTACAGCAGCTCAAACACTCTAATGGCTAATGGACAGACGGCTGCTTCTCACTCAGGGCTGCTGATTATGCTGATGAGGGAGAGATAGGCACTAGTGGGCGGGGCATTCCCCCACTGATGACACGTACAAAGAGAGAATGTCAATCAAAGTGTTTCATTCATTAAGTCTGATTATAAAACACACAATTAATTCATGTTGACCATTAGAGGCTGCAGATATTCACACACTGCTGACACACAACTGGGGTTAAACCCTCCATAAAAGTGATTTTTGCCTAATATGTGCCCTTAAAGACTGTATTGGTGTTGTATCTTCAATTATGAGAAGAAAATCTATGATCCTAAAATGATTTAATGCAGGCTTACATCATCGTCCCCTTTCGTCTCCACCTTGGTTTCTTCCATCTCAGCTCGTACTCTGTTTAAAGAAACACACAGATGGAGTCAAACACTTCTGTAAGGCTGTCACTTTTATTATAATTTTATTATTATTATTATTATCATCATCATCATCAATATTATTATTTTTATGATTATTATGATTACTATTATTATTTTTATTAATATTATTATTATTATCATCAATGCTATTATTATGATTATTATGAATATTATTATTATTAGTAGTAGTATTATCAATATTATTATTATTATTATTATTATGATAATCATTATTATTATTAATATTATTATTATTGTTATTAATAATATTATTTTTATTATCAATATTATTATTATTATTTCTATGATGATTATTATCAATATTATTATGATTATTATAATGATTATTATTAATATTATTGTTGTTGTGATTAATAATATTGTTATTAATATTATACTTATTGTTATTATAATCATTAATATTATTATTATTATTATTATTATCATCATCATCAATATTATAATTATTATTAATACTATCAATATTATTATTATTATTATTATTATTATTACTATTTTTATTATTATTATTATTATTATTAAAATGACTAATATTACTATCAATATTATTATTATTATATTATTATTATTATTATTATTAGTTTTATCAATACTATTATTACTATTATTATTATTAATAATAATATTATTATTATTATATTATTATTATGTTTATTATTATTACATTCAATAATTTTATTATTAATATGTATACTATTACTAATATCAATATCATTAATATTACTATTATCATTACATTATTATCTCCTACATCTCGGATCAGTAAATTAACAGGACATTTTCATAAATGGCTAAACTAAGTCAATGGTTGCAGGCTTCCAACATTCCTCAAAGTATCTTCTTTAGTGTTCAACTGAAGAAATAATCTCATAATGATTTTCTGAGCGAGTAAATAATAACAGAATTGTAGTTTTTGGGTGAGCTGTCTCTTTATTTTCGAGTGTGTGTGTTTAGTGACAGACTTCTTGAGCTCGTCCTCCAGCTCTTTGTTCCTCTCCTCCAGTTTGTCTTTCGTCTGTTTCAGGACCTCAATCTCTCCCTGAAGGACGTCTTTCTCGCACACCAGCTCGTCCACTCGAGCGATCAGGTCGTTTTTCACCACGTTCAGAGCGTTTCTGCATTAAACACACACATGCAGCTTTCAGGAGGAGGATTAATGCACACAAAACGCTTTTCTTATTTAGAGTTTTGGTCTCGTTTCCAGTCCAAATATCATTAATCTATTAATGCAAGAAGCCTTTTCTGAACAAGTAAAACACATTGTTTTGTTTTCAGAAATAATGAGACAAAATGAAGTGTGTTTTACTGAAAATAAGCCAAATAATCTGCCAATTGGGGTAGAAAAACAATCTTGTTTTCACTTCTATATAAGAATATTTTGCTTGTTTTAAAGAAAAACTCACTAGATTTTGACATTTCATTACTAAAAACAAGACAATAATTTTGCTTGTCTAAAATTGCTGCTTGATTAAAGTATTTTTACACATTTTGACTACAAAAAAGCATTTTTACAGTGTTTATGCCACGGTTTATCAGCACTTTTTTATTTGCAATTAAATACTAAAGATGACTATATATGATATATATAGATGAAGCTTTTATAATCTTTGCAGTACTTCAGAGCGCATGTCAAATTGACAAGGTCACATGGTTTCAGTCAACAGAACTTTGGTTACGTCATCACGGTTTGAATTATTAGTGAGAATCGGTCTAATGACTCACTGAATCAATGAATCTGACTCACCAAACCAACATCATTAATGTCAGTCACATCAGATCTGAATTAAACCAAGAATCGACTACTTTATGAAAAAAAAGATACACTTCCTTGAGAAGCAAAATAAAAAATTATTAAGTCTTGCTTTTTTTTTTTTTACCAAATGTAAGTTTATGCTTAAAAAGCCTATTTACTGTGAAAATATCAGCTAAACGATCTCAATTTAGCAGAAAACAAGACTTTATTAAAACTTCTTGCACGCTTACATATTTAGTCTTGTTTTTGCACGAGACGAAAAAAATATAAACATTTCTGCAGTTGTCAAATGAGAACTGGAGTCTTGTGTCCGCTGTATTTTATTCACAACACCAGATGGCAGCAGAAGTACAGTGCATATACAGTTGAAGCCAGAGTTATTCGCCCCCCTGTTTATTTTTCCCCCAATTTCTGTTTAGCAGAGAGCAGATTTCTCCAACACATTTCTAATCATAATAGTGTTAATAACTCATCTCTAATAACTGATTTATTTTCTCTTTGTCATGATGACAGTAA